ATATATATATATATATATATATATATATATATATATATCATTTAGTGTATATATATATATATATATATATATATATATATGTATATATTTTTTGTATTCATAAAAAGACTAAGTGGGTAAAGGCAACAATAGAATAGAATACTCTTCAATGCATATTAGGAAATCACTTGAAAATCACTTTTACAAAATAAGAAGTAACAACAACCAAAATCAAAGATGTCATCTAGTCGCAAAAAATCGCTATCAAATCTCGTTAAACAGTTCTGAATAGATTTGCATGAATATAAAAATCATCTAAATACTAAAATACATTTTTGTAGAACAATGGATCGTAATTATTAACAGTTTCACTGCGTTTACTCACAGGAATTTCAAAAGTATTAGCATGCTCCACCCTCTACTGTCGCAGCCAGAGCACAACATGGACCTGAATGCTCCGTCAAAGAAAAATGGTCCGAGGCCAAATAACTAAGCAGTTAAATGACTTCCTCAAGAATGAAACTTTACAATAAGTTGTGACAGACACTGCTGTGGCCGAGCAAAGAAATTATGTTATTTACACCTATTAGAGGCCTTTTTCCTCTTCCATCTCTCTTTCTGTTGCCACTTTTGTTCTTCTCTGTCCTTTTTGTCCTTGCTTTAAGGTCAGATAATTAGAATCCTTTTTTTTTTTCACGGTCCCTCTTTCTTTTCCTCTCCTTTTGTTTCAATGGATCACACTTTTTTAATCTATTCTACTTTCTTTGTCTTTTGGCTTTATTCCCCCCCCAAAAATTCCTCCGTTACACTTCTCATTTTCAATCTCTCCTTTGTTTTTTTTTCCCCGGCCAACCCTTCAGTTGACCCAATGGATCTTTAAACTGAATACAAAACATTTGTTGAAAATAACTGACACTTTTATAGAGACCAAATGCTTTGTTGCCATCCCTTACAACCTGTGTCAATGTTTCCCTTTAGTTTTTGTCTCCTAGGCGCAGTATACTTTTGTCGAGAAAAGAACAGTTGTATAATAAAAACCTATTTGAGACAATTGAATAATCAAAAGGAAGATGGAATAATCAAAACTATCTTTTGTACAATTCTACTTTAATCACTGCTTGTCATGGTCTGGGTCTGTTCACGGGGGGCAGCAGGCAAATCAAGGCAGCAAACGAGACCCTCAGAGTTCCTCATTCACGCTAAGCTGCTCTTCCTGCGCTCATTTCCAGGCCAGAGAGAAAACTCCCCCAGTGGGTTTCTGTTCTGTCCCAAGGTCTCCTTGTACCGTCCAAAAGAAATCCACAGCGAGCGATCCACAGGCCTTTTAGCCAGATTTGTCTATCATCTCAGCTGGAAGTTTTCCCTTGAAAGTAGCAGTGCTTCTAGTGGGATTTTTTATTTTTTGTTATTGTTATTGAGCCTTTCTACCCAGAGCTTTGGGAGGATGATTTGTGCTTCAGTACTGTCGATATACTGGGAACATGATAACAACCTTTTAAATTCTCAAGACGTATAAGCAGAAATCACTTTGTGTGTTGTTTAAATACCTTTGTGTCTTCTAGTGCTTGTGAGCGTGCACCACTGGGTAGCTCATTGTGTTGAGGTTGCATTTTAGCTTTGCCGCTGGAAAGTTTAAATTCTTTCTGAAGCGGTAACTTTGGATTAGTTGTTGACACATTGTATGATGTTGAATCTTTGTGGAGCTTTGAAAAACTTAAAAGTTTGAATGATGGCTGTGACAACAATCTCATAATACTGAAGCCTCAATAGGGATAAGGAAATAACTTAGTTAGTTATTTTCTTCAGTGCTTGCCATCAGAATAGACTATCAGATTGTGTTGTTTTTTAAAGGGAATCTAGTGCTCATAAATCAGAACTGTTTCTATCCGCAGGGACGGAAAAAAATCACCACAGAAGGAATTGTCCTTATGGTTGCTTTAAGCTGCCTCTCTGACTACAGCATTTTCTATACTTTTAAAGAACGAGTTAATTTATGTGGCTTGTACTCACTTCATTTTGGAAATGATTTTCAATGCCAGAACTCACACAAGTATTACGTTCTCCATTGCATTGTTTCTCTGCTATGCAATTGCATTCATTGGCGTTACACTGGCTTCTTTCTGTACAGTGAATTCAATACACTATTCATCTATTGAAATTCCTGCTATTTCAGCTTTTTGTTACAGTATCCCTTTTCTCCTCACTTAATCTTTTAAACATTACCTCTCAAATAAGAATCACAGGGCTTTATCTGGGTCAAACAACATCCGACTTTTCCTACCGCAAGAGTTTCACTGTTAATGGGTAAATAATTCCATTACATCATGTTAGTATTTGGGATATTCATTGTGTATTTCAAAGTGTCTGTGCTGCAATGGTTAGTTATCGTGAATAGTGAATCTTTTCATTCTCTGAGCTGTCTAAAGTCATTTCTATGCGGATTCATGGCTGTGTGTCGTAACCACAACATCAACTCTGAATACGATTATATTTCACACTCATCTGTACTCAGTTATGTTTCATGTGTGATGCTAATGTATTGATTGTTTTCAGCCAACAGTCTTCAGAAACCTTTTCTCTGTTTTTTTTCAGGTTGTCAGGATTCATGCAGCCCTCCCCTTTAGTCAGCAGTGGATCCATTTTGGCCTTGTGGTTTACCACAGACTTTGCTGTCAGCGCACAGGGCTTCAAAGCTGTATACGAAGGTAAGGCAATGTGCGATGTACATAGTGATGTCTAATCGCTGGCCAGGATGCACATGCAACTTCTGCCTGGTACTAATGTCTTGCAAGCTCGTTGACTCGATTGACAAAAGTTTGTACAGTGAGCGTTAATAAGTCCATCGAAGGCCCAGTGTGTACAATTTAGCGGCATCTAGTGGTTAGTTTCAGATTACAACCGACCCCTCAGTTATCTTTAGGATTTGAGTACAAATAGAAGCTACTCTTATCAATACCCTGCTTTGCTACATGACTGAAAAATTACCTTAAAAAACATTACTGTAAAAGACAAAGGACAACTAAATTCAGAACAGGATTGAATTGAAGGATTAGAAATCTAAATATTGTTTAGAGAGCAACATTTGAGTGAGGTTTGTAGAGAATGAACAACACAGACATCCATCAGTTTCAGTCATTCCTCCTGTCTTCTCTCCACTTGGCTGCGTTGTCTCAGTCAGCAAAGAAGTTTACCGAAAAGGGCTTTTGGACAATTGGCCTTGTGTGTGTGTGTGTGTGTGTGTGTGTGTGCGTGAGTGTGCTGTTGTTATGTATTTGTGTAGGTAGAGGATCTCAGCCAAGCAGAAAGCTCAGAGCAGATGCTCTATTTTTTAAGCTCTGGATTAGACTTTTAGTTTCAGGTGCACTGATTCAAAAATAGTTATTAATATCAAATAATACCATCGTTGGCAGTGAATCGCCCTAAATATGACACACATTTTCACAACAAGCATTTTTAGAAAGACTTTTTGACAAAGGTGACAGGATAGTTGCAGGTGCTTGAAGGACTTTGATGACATGGTTGGAGCTGATGACCATGTTGCACACCGTGGGAGTTTCTTTTGATGAGTTGTAATTTAATATAGGTTATTATGGTTTATCAATTGCAACTTTTATTATCATTGTTGTGTTTATCTTTAGATTAATCTGTTCCTTGTGTGGTGTTCCTTTGGGATCAAAAAATAAAAAGTCTCACTGTGATAATGTAAGATATAATAATATAATATATAGCAGAAAAATCCAAGAGAGCGAACACTTTATTTGATCCAATTATTTGAGACCACGGGACAATATTTATGTGAACTGAATTTTTATTTCTACATTGACAGATACACTTTCAGTTCACTCATGTTGCCTGTTGGGAAGCGACATGAATTCTGAGCCTGACCTTTTGCAGCTGCACAAAAACGCACAAACACATACACACTTTTAAGTGCAGGCACACACTACGCTTGCGTAACAGTTCATCTATGAATCATGAAGTCTAAATATCAAAGAAAAATTCAAGAAACCATACATAAACTCTTCCTCCCTTTTCTATATATACGTCGATGTGTTTGAGTGTTTTATCTTCATCACCTCTGTCTGTTGAGTCTTTGTGTATGTATATTCCTAGAGGTCTGTCATTTGTGCGTTTGTTAAAAAGACACCTGACCTTTTTCCAGGAAGTGCCAGTGAGTACTTTGTCTTCATTTTTTCTTTCCATGGTTCCATTTCACATCTGTGGGGACCATTAAGTGTGTTTGTTGCCTCAGGAGCAACTGTGATTGTGTGTTCGTTTGTGCAAATCTAAATGTGGCTTGGGAATGTATGTGTGTGTGTCTGTGTAACTGACAGGCCCTGTGTGTGTGTGTGTGTGTGTGTGTGTGTGTGTGTGTTGCTTCGTCTTGGATTGAATTCCTAAACATCAAACACTCATGATTCATGTCTGGGTGTGAATGTGTGCGTGATTGTGTGTACATTAACAATATGTGTGATTTTTAACTGGCATTCATGCATCAAAACAAGGCAGGACATTCATTAAACATCTTTTTTGTGCATATGAGATCGGTAGTTGCTGTCTGCTTTATCTTTATGTCTGTGGGCATAACGGCACTTTTTGAAAGCCAAGACGAATATATGAGAAAGTGAACATCAGTCACAATAATGAGAAAAAAATCGAATCATATCAGTCATATTTTATTGTGAGGCAAGTTAATGTGATTGTTTTTTTCAAATGATGTACATTACAAATGAGAATCAAACAATGGGCACACAGAATATCGTTTGGGACATAAAACAATTTAGCAGCACAAAGTAATTGTGCAAAGCGGTTTGGTGGAGTGGTTCTGACATCGCAACACTTTTTTACAGATATTCCTGTTAATTCCTGTTAACTAAGACCGCTATTACACCATCTAATATTATCCCATGACTTTTTGACTTGTATAACTAAAATTCTTCTCTGCTGTCTGCTTGATTGTTTGGGCTACAGAAAGAGAATCGGGTGGGACTGCGATCCAACATTCAGCTACAGTGTGGAAAAGTTAGTTACATTACATTACATTACATTACATGTCATTTAGCTGACGCTTTTATCCAAAGCGACGTACAATAAGTGCATTCAACCATAGGGTACAAGTTAGAAGTACTTCATCCTTTACATAAAAACAGTGGGGCCACCTATGATGTGAGGATCCTCAGTTGACTATCCAATGCTTATGTGAATACTGTTATGAAATGATATGCAAAAAAAGGAACTGGGTATTAACAGGATCATGAACAATCAAACGATCAATTCACTACCAACTAAATTCTGAAGTCTTCAGGTCCATGAGGAGGAGGTTTGGGTTCAGCATTGTGACTACAAATCACTTAGCTAATACTCCAGTGTCTATGAACTTTGAAGTTTCCTTCATATTGAATATGTTGTTCATTACAGTAAATCACGTGTCTTGTCTGCGGTCTTATTAGCAGCATAAGGGAATTATAGTTAACACATTCTCAGATTTTGCTGTGACTACCGCACTGAAATACCAGAACCTTTCCCTGGCTTACTGTTGATCATCTGCAGTGCCACCTTTAATGTCTGCGTCTTTGTGCGTTGGCTGTTGTCCCCGATGTCATTAGTACTTCGTGCTGCAGTCGTATTTCCCCGTGGAATAAAAAAATCACATAACATAACTTTGTGAGCTGATTTAGCCAAACAACAGTTTTTCAATGAACACAACTGTATTATTCATTCATAACTACACAATTCTTACATATTCATTTGCCTTTGTTCATATAAACATGTTCAAACTTAAAAAGAATATTTTAACAATCTGCTAACCCCTAACCCTTGACATGTTTTTTCTGTCATTTTGTAATACACATGTAACTGATGAGTTGCCTTAGAGAGGTGGACATAGTGAAAGAAAGAGACCGAGAGGTTCGCTCAAATTAAGCTGTACGTGTTGGAAAGTGAGGCCTTGCTAATGAAAAAAAGGTTTGAAGACGAGATAACCATCAATTTCCCATGGATTGGAGCAAGAGACACACAATTCCTACTGCGAAGAATAATAGAATAAATGATAATACAAATTATACAGTATGTGTTGTCTCTATGCTCAGAGATAATTTGGTGAGCGTGAGCTCCATCAGGTCTTGGTGTTTTTTGTTGGAAACAAGATTAAGCACGGGTTTGTCCACTAGGACTCCACAATGTTTTTTTTTTTTTTTTAATGTAAAGGATTTGTTGTGTTTATAGTCCTGCTGCAGCTGGGAGCTTTACATGTCTTTAGCACTAATATAAGGCTAAAAGTCCTAAATATTCGGAGCTTCAGGGAAAGATTGCCTGGCCTCAAATGAGTTTGAAATAGTCACTAAGCAACTCGAAGCACTACAAGCTTTCCTTGGTGCATTTCTTAAGTGCTGCTACTTATAAGAAGAAACCCCTGGAAACAAGGCCTTACTTCCTTGTTCACAAAAGTGACTGAACTGCAAAAAAGTAAAAACTGAATGAAAGGGACACTAGTCAGTAAATTGAGCTCCTCTTAAAAAAGGAAAAAGAAAAGATTGCATGGGAATACATTAAGTAGGGAAACTTGTTCAAGAGCATATTGTCAAGGATGCGTGGGGGAGGCAGGACTCAAATGCAGACTTCTTGAAAACAAAAAGACTTTAATAGTCAAAAAACACAGGAACCAGGGGAAAACCAGCAGGCATGAGACTACGGACATCCACGACGATAGACAATGACGCGACAAGTGACACAAGAGACACACGGCTTAAATACACAAGGGAGGTGCAGGTGATTGGACACAGGTGGAAACTATTAGACGATCGCAGGGGATGACGGGACAAGGCAGGAAGTGAAGTTACCCGGGGACACGAGTGGCAGAAAACTACAAAATACAACAGGAAGTGAACCACACCGTGACACATATTACTCGAGATTAATCGCAAAATTAAATAATCACTTCAAAAGTGGTGTTTACTTTTATTAATGCTAATACACTCACCTCTTTAACAGCAGTATTACCTTTAAACAATAGCAGTTAAACTATTCACATTCTATCTAGTCGGTTAGAGCAAAACAACTTCCATTCCATCTGGAACATTAAGGTTAACGTGGGGGGGGAACACCATGGCTGGGTTACCCGAGAAAATCTAAATTAAGAGCATTTTACTTTTGACAGTATTTTACAAATATTAAATAATAAAAAAATATGTTTATACAAAATCTTTCATAAGTCTCATTTACTTAAAAAATAATTATGGAGAAATAATAGAAATATAAATTATGACATAGTTCTGCAAAGTTTTTGTAGAGCAGCTTGATACTTCCATCCCAGACTTTGTTGTCCGTGTCAATGTTTCTTTGGTCAAGAAAATTTGCTATGGTGTCTGAATGTTGTATTAGGTCCTGATGGTCGGGCGTCACCTTGTATGGTAGCCCAGGCCGTCCTTGTGTGAATGGGTGAATGACATGCAGTGTTTAAGTGCATTGTTTAACCAAATGACCATGTAACTAATTATTTCCAGTATATTTTACTGAATAGCAATAGAATATACAACAAGATAACTATTGTAAACAGTTGATAATATTATACAATATGTACTACATCAGTTGAGCTATGTGTGTGTGTGTGTGTGTGTGCTTAAGAGATTGCTGACTCACAGCACCAACTTTAACATTACGACTCAGTGAGAACATCATCCTCTCAGTCTCAACCTCACCCACCGCC